AACAAATAGGGCCTCCATAAATGTTACCTTTCATTATGCTGAGAATTATTTGTTGGAAGGAAGAAAATAGATGGACTTCCTTTTCAATGTTCTTTATATTTTATCTTTTATTAACGTACAAATTGTACATATTAATGCAGTTCAGTTAGCTTTTTTTTAAAAAAAAACTTCATTTTAAAAGAGAAAGGTAAAGGAGATGAAACAAAACAGAAAAGATAGATAGGAAAGAGCAACCCTCATTTTATTTAGTAACAATGATATAAAAGACAGGGTACAGGGCTGGGGTTGTAGCTCAGTGGTACAGCACTTGCCTCTCATGTGTGAGGTCCTAGGTTCAATCCTCAGCACCACATAAAAATAAATAAATAAAAATTTAAGGGGCTGGGGATGTGGCTCAAGTGGTAGCGCGCTCACCTGGCATGTGTGCGGCCCGGGTTCGATCCTCAGCACCACATACAAACAAAGATATTGTGTCCACCGATAACTAAAAAAATAAATATTAAAATTCTCTCTCTCTCTCCCCCTCTCTCTCTCTCTCTTTAAAAAAAAATTTAAAAAAATGAAAAAAAAGGCAGGGTACACTCATAATCTCATTCACTTGTTACCATAACTCTTTGGGGTACTTGTTATTAGGAGCCATGTTTGGGTGATGAAGTTGCTTCTTAGAGGTTCACCACTGTGCTCTGATAGCACATCACATTTGAGCCCTGGTGAATCTAGGTGTACACATCCCCTCCTTCATTCTAAGCTATCAGGTGGGGGAAAAAGAAAGAGTCATTGTACTTTTTCAGCCATAAACTGAAACTTGTCTCCATAGGGATAATATATGACATTTAATGTCAAGATTGTGATGATAAAACATGACATCATTCTTAACCTCTGGTGCTAAAACCCATTATTAATAGTAGTCTGGAGCATTTTATAAACATGCTTGCTTCTATGAGTGTGCCTAGTTCAACATTCACCAGACTGCTATTGTTTGGGCGTTCAAAGGTGGAGGTAAATTCAAGATAATCCTTAAACAATGCAGAGAGTGTGTGCAAAATGTCAGGACCGGTGAACCAGAACAAGTAGAAGCTCATCATTGTTTATGTTCATGTCAACAGAATCTCATCACTTGACTTAAAAATCCATAAGATGGTTCCCAATTTAGTACAATGCTTCTCAAAACTTGACCAAGTGAAATGCCCAAATCATTCTGTGATTACGTGGCAGTTACTGCTTTGTGACAGCTCTCTCTGTGAATTGACTGTCTCCCCTCAGCAAGAGCTGCCTCTCTGAATGACAAGACTGGTGTCTCCTTTGGGCCAACTTTTTCCTTGTGCCCTGCTCCATTTTTCACTGTTATGGTACGTGGCCTTGCTCCCCTAAATCATAGCTTTGGGAAGACGGATGAGGTCAGCCTTTCCTCTAAGGCCACTTCTTCATGGCTCCACTGAATTAAAGAGAAGCCACTGAAGTACACTGCCATATGTCATAGTGACTTGCTGTTCTCTTTATCTCAGCACAGTGGTGAGTCCCCTGAACTCAGTGCATGTTTTAATTCGCGCACAAGGAACACCTTCCTTAGTTCCTCATCACAGGATTGTGATCTTTGAAGGAAAACAAAGAGTTTGGTGGGTTTTGAGATTGACAGGTCAATGTAAAAAATTATTTTTTGCTGATACAAAGTATCTATAAAAAATATAAACTGTTCTTTATTCAACCTAATCCCCCAAAACAGTGCTGAGACAGCTGCATTCACTCTCCAACAGCAGAATCTTTCAGATTCATTTCTAGGTGCTCATCTCACTTGTATGTACAATGCATATGTGATCTAGTTTAGGTAAGGGAAAAAATAATCTCAGGGAAGTCTGAACATGATCCATGAACCAGGCCCCCCCTCAATGACACTTCTATGAGGAAGTCTTGACTCTCAATGATCTAGGGAAGGAGTCTTATCAGATGTTGCTCCAGCCCCTGGTAGGGGTAAGGAGATGAATGAGAAGAGTGATCTGCACAGAGTGAGTTGCCAGGATAAGATGCAGGGGAAGCGGGCACCCAGTCTCTGTGCTCAGCAGTGTTTTGTTTGTAAAGTTCTCTGTAGCTCACAGCTATTTTTGACATTGGCATGTGCTGGCTTTGCAGAATGGATAGTCAGCTTGGCATCTCAGAACACTGAATAGATCTTGGTTTTAAGAAAGTCAGTTTGGCATCTCAGAATGTTGAATAGATCTTGGGTTTAAGAAACTAGAGGCAGGCATCTGGTAGAAGCCCCTTAAAGCTGTAGCATCTTAAATGGAGGCATTATCTGCCCTTATGTTGGAATACATGGAATTAACCTTGCCAGCCAAATATTCTTCTAGTGCAGTCTAGACATCAGCATTTCAGAGACAGCCTATGGTGGAATACAATGAGTTTGGAGACTCACAGTAATTAGACCTGCCACCAGCTTCAATTCCCCAGTGGAAGCTCTGGTTAATGGCCAGGTGCTGATTTGCATCTTGTTCCCTCTTTCTGGAATGTTCCTTCTTTTCCATGTCTTAGCTGATTTCTATTCATTCTTTAAAAACTTAATTCAAACTAAGTATCAACTCCTCTCGAGGGCCTCCATGACAACACAAGTGCTCTAGTCTGATTTAAAAACCCCTGGTTCTCCCAAAATGCTTAAATATCATTCAGATCACCTTACATTGCCCAGTAAAAGGGGCCATATTTGTTTGTAAGGAGCCACATTTTGTTCAACATTTTTTTTCAGACATAGTTGATGAAAGTACTTTACTATTTATAAACTGGCACTTTTGTTGCCAAATTATAAAGGGTTTCTAAGAACCAAGAGTTTTCAAAGAAGTCTATGGTGACTAATGCAAGGATTGCATTACCCAGGCCGCGGGCTTCTTCCTCAACTTTTGAACACTGGCTACAATGACAAGCACCATTAATGAGGGTAAGGGAAAAAAAAATCCCCAGAGCTTTTCTACATGGAATAGGAATAACACCCATGTATATAGAACCAATGTCATACAGCCTGGACCACCCAGGGAATTTAGGGTATACATTCACCCCTAGTTGATTCCAATCACATTATAAAATCTATGCAGTGCAAGAGCCAGATAGAATTTTTGAAGTCGTTTGTTCATATTTCCTCATTTCACGTATGTGAAGACCGATGCCTATGGATTCTATACAACCTGCCCCCAAGTACATATGAAGCTAGTGTCAAACAACTTAGGCCTCCTCCTTTGTAATTCATAGGTTTGTATAAGTTTTGCTTGCATCATCTCCCCTCCACTCCTACTTCTTTAGGGCAGTCTTTAGAGATAAACTCAGAGTCAAATTTCATTTCTGGCATTTATTAATCCTGTAACCTAAAGTGAATTATTGAACTAATGCAAGTCCTAGTTTCTTCTTTTATACAGTAAAGATCACAGTATTCTTCTTTAAAATTTTCTGTGTGATAAAAAGGAAACATCTGTAAATTGGGTGGCACACCTGTGTCTGGTACCCGCCTTTCTACTAACTGTAATAAATACTGTAAGGTTTTAAAACCCAAGAGCATACTGTAAAGCATCTCTTTTGCAAAACAAAAACAAAAACCAACCAAACAAACAAACAAAAAAACCCAAAAAAGCAGTAAAAGAACCGACATTTTAAAATTCTTTTGGTGTGGAGATGGTTAAAAAAAAATCCTTCTGCTTTAAAGCCTGGCTGGACCAGCGCTCCCACTTTCCACATAATGTACCCTTCTCCGTGGAGGCGGTCACGTATAGCAGGCATATAGTAACGCAGTGTGCAGCACAATGCTGTACTGTGGCACTTGTTTGCTTTCGCACCTCTGCACCTCTCCTACCAGGTACCTACATCAGGTTGCCAATTTCAGCTGCTGCCTGCCTTTCTCCTCCTTTCCTGCCCACTGCTGCTTTAGGCATATGTCTTTTTTGAGGTCAGATCCTTTTAGGGACACAGAATTAAAACCTCACCAGAGTGACCTAGGCTCTGGCAACCTCAGGGACCTGAGTCTTATCTGTATATCTGACCGCAGGTCTGCTCTTGCCAGGGTCCACTTCCTTCTCCACCGGCCCCTTAGAGCTTGCCTGGCTAACTTCTTGCTGTCTGATAATGGGGTTTATAAAAGGCTGGAAACCCGACTGAGTTCTACAGGTGGATTAGGCAGTTATTCCTACTCATCCCCTGTCTCTCCCCACAACAAACGCAAGGACCAGGGGTGTTTCATATGGAGACAAAATTTGGTTGTTTCTCTTCCCGAAGGCGGCTCCGTCGCGTTCCAGGAGGCAGTACCCCGAGGGTACTCTGCGCGGTTTGCATCTATTGCGGTGGGTACTGCGCCCCAGGAAGACGCACAAACAGGTACAGCCTTGAAGCGCTTGAAGAAGACCCGGACCAACGCGGTGTGGTTGGGAAGACTTCGCAGGGCACTCCTAATCTTCATCCCTGAGTCAGGTCCCCAACCCACCCCGATCCCCGAGGAGAACCAGAAGTACTTTCCTAGCTTCTTAAGTGGCAGCAGGAACCCTGTATCAAGAAGTGAGAGCGGCGCACTGTATGCCACCCCAGCCAGTGCGGAACCCCCTTGTCAGCTGAAGTTATGTTCCATAGCTCCTGTCTGGAGGGACCGCGACAAGCACTCTATCCCCTCATCCAGGGTTAGGGGTATAAAGAAAACTTCTGAGAACTGAAAGGGAGGGAGTTGAAAGTCTTCCTGAGGGGTCTCCCCAAATTCCCCTGTGCCGGAAGAAGTGATGGGGACGAGGCCACCCTGATGGTACATCACCCATATTCTCTCCAGCAAGCCGGTTATCCCTAGATCCCTAGCATCCCCAGAGCACACAGACCTGCGCGCCCTTCCTCAGCGCCACCTCGCGATCCCAAGGACCCGCACAGACAGCGAAGGGTGTGCGCGCCAGGCGTCCCGCGTGCCCTCGCCCGAGCGTGGGGCGCTGTCCCTGCTCGACAGCCGCTCCCGCCTCCCGCCGCGACCGCCCGTGGCCCTTGCCGCTCACCATATGGCCATCCTGCTCTTGGGGTAATCCAGCCGCTCCAGGCAGCCTAGGAAGTGAGGCAGCGTGTGCGCAGCGTTGCGGGCGAGGATGGCCACGAGCACCGTGGGTTTCTGCAGGGGCGACTCGGGGAAAACCAGCGGCTCTTCTTCATCATCCGCCGAGTCCGGCTCCGCAGCAAAGCGCGCCCGGCAGCCGCCGCGGAGCAGGGCCAAGGACAGGAGTAGCAGCGACCAAGCGAGGGTGGCGGCGGGGCGCGCAGCCATGTTTCGGACTGGGGCCGGCGGCGGGCAGGTCCTACCGCGAGCGCGGAGCCCGGCTGCCCTAGGGCGCCAGAGGCCGCCGGGAGGGGCGGCGGCGGCTCTCGCTGAGTGAGGAGGCTGCCAGCGGCGGCCGGGGGATGCGGCTGGCCCAGGACAGCCGGCGCGCGCGCTGGCACCGACTGCTGCAGCTCCCAGGACCTCCCGCTGCCGCTGCCGCCACCCAGGCCCTGACGCCGGTGCGCACCGCGTACCTGCCCGCCAGCGGTCGCCTGTGGCTTAGCTCGCAGACAGTCGTGGCCGTGAGTCTGTTTGTCCGGAGTCCTGCGGAAACTTCCTCTAGTGCAGGCTCAGTCGGTACAGATGAGGTCTGTGGCTTTCCCCAAGCTGCGAGGTGTGGCTGTGTCTGCCAATGGGCGTGTGTGTGTGTGTGTGTGTGTGTGTGTACACATAACGGTACAACCCCAAGAAAATTTATTCTGCTTCTGCAAACCGCAGTCTGAAGTCCTTCACAGTGATGCAATGTATCCAGTTTTTCATAATGCACCTATTGACAAATGAGTCGAATTCTGAAATGGAAAGTCACCCCAACTTTTCACGACTATGATGAACAATTTTTAAACTACCGCAAAGGCAGAATGTTTGCATTTCCTTAAGACACTCGACTTCTTCTGAAATTTATTCTTGACTGAGTAAACACCCAATAACACCAAACTTGAAGACGTGGAGAATTTTAGAGTCCGGGGAGACCCCTGGAAATAAAAGTAAACTCTTTACAGGACATTGTTCTGAAGCCCCGCTCCAAGTGAGGATGGGTGTGAAAGATGCGATTAATTTAGTTGTTTCCTTCCTTCCTTCCTTCCTTCCTTTCTCTCTCTCTCTCTCTCTCTCTCTACTGAGACTGTTCTGGCAGACTGTTCTTCCTTCCTTCCTTCCTTCCTTCCTTCCTTCCTTCCTTCCTTTCTTTCTTCATAATGGCCCAAACTAACCCACAGTAACAGGGAAAATCCAATCAGCACATCAAATGAAATTGCTTGGATACACTCAGGAAAGATATTTACTCTTGAAGGTAGCTCAGGGAAGTGAGTATGGAATGTGAAGTTCCTTCTTTTGGTTTGAACTCCTTTAACCAAATGTGGAGGATCCCACTAGTCCTTGGCTCTGTCCCTTGGCCTATGTATTTTTGTGTCAACCCTCTCAGCTCTTAAGCCTTGGTCACTCTCCTTTGACCTGCTCAGTTCCTTGGAAGACCATGGCTTCCTCCATCCAACTCCCTTAACACTCTCCCTTAACCAGCATCCTTGGTGCACTCCTTACTTGCAGGTTCCTATTCTCTCCAGGGTCATCTATAACCTCTGTTCCCTTTTTACCATGATTTTTCACCTTCATTTATCTCCACTGTCCACTGAATCCTCAACTGGTGCCATTCCACCAATTCTTTTCTCTCAACCTAAAACCCTGAGTCAGTGCTCTCTCTTACTTAAAAAAACAAAACCCAAAAAAATCCCTTTGGCCATCTCCTTGAAAAAGAGGTTTGCCATCCTTTCCAACTTCCTCATCTCTCAGCTCTCTTGCCACAGGCAATGTGGCTCCAGCTCTCTCTACTGAGACTGTTCTGGCAGAGCCCACAGATGACTTCAGTGTTGGCAAATTCAGTGACTTCTCTTTGATTTTCACTTTCTCTGACCTCTCTTACATAATCTCTTCTTCATGATTTCTTCTGATCCTAGTTGTCCGCAAGCCCCTTCCTTGTGTACCGTTTTCCCATGTGCTGATCCTCTGTTCCTTGGGTTCTCCTGCGGTGATTTCATTTTCCAAATCTATGCCTCCTGCCCTTCCCTCATGTCTAATATTCCTACTCTTACATCTAACAGCCTAAAGACATTGCTTGCCTCCACCATCCTATGGGAACTGTGCTGTTCTTAAGGGACTCACAGTCTTGTAGAGAAACTTGAGTTAAAAATTTCTTGGAATTGTCACAACAGAACTTTGTACCAGCTACATCAGAGGGAGAGAGGAAGGCCTGGTCACTTCTACAGTGCGGGGGGGGGGGGGGGGATGGTGGACTAGAAGACGTGTTTCACAGAGATAATTTCCATTTTGTTGTATCTTCTTTCTTTTCTCTTTTTAGCATATGTCATGAGATGTTCAAGACTAGGATTCCCATGCCTTAGAGACACTTGGTTTAATATTCATCATCTGTTCACTGTACTGCTAACAGAGGGAGATTAAAGCCAGGAGACCACATTTCTGTCTTATTTTCCTTCAGCTACCTGAAGTCCACAGCTTATCTAGCTCATTGTTTCAATGGATGAAACACCTAAAGTCCTACTTGTGCTGGGCCCTATGGCCATTTCTGATATTATAATGAAATCAGCTCCACAGAGTTCTCCTGGAGGAAACATAGTCTGGTCTGTAGATGAAATCAAACTTTTCCTAGTTATATAAATTGCAAAACAACTATTTAAAACTTTTAGCTAACTTAGTGTGCTAATGTAGTCACTGAGAATATTAAGGGCACAGCAGGGTGTGTTAAAAGTAGAAGATCATTTTAAATATAGGAGCGGGGTGGGGTGGGAAAGGAGGAGGAAAAGCTTAGGAAAAGTTGGGTCCCCAATTTACTCACAGAGTTGTTCCATAAATTCTTTAGAAACCAGTCATGTGGATCTTGGATTTTTTGCTCTCATAGAACCAATGCTCTAAGATATTTAATTTATAAAACCTAATTAAAATGAAAGCCAATTGTATTTTTAAAATATCCATTGCTTATGATGTTCTCTCCATGGAAACTGATGGGATGGGAAGTCAGGGTTCTGCACACCTGTCTTTGTCCCCACTGCCCCTGGACTGCCCCAACAGTCCCCACGTGAAGTTGGAAGTACATGCTTTCTCTCATAACCCCTCCTCACACTCTTCCACCACAGTGGGCTTCCTTTGGGGACAATAAAGCCTCATTGACTGTCACCCTTAGCCTAGTAGTGGCAGGAGCAAAGCCTCTGAGGTGGGTAGAGGGATTCTTGCAGGAAAACTTTTCAAGGTTTCAGTGGCTCCAGCAGGCAAGCTGCCTTTGTGGCAGCTGTGACATGCTAGAAAGAGCAATAGATGCTTGAATTGAATTTCCATCTCATTTGTGTCACTTATTTTCTTTGTGACCTTGGGGAGTTGAAGACCTCTCTGAAAATTAATTTCTCCCTATGTAAAAAAAAAAGTGAAGACTTGCCTCATTTTTTCATTCAACAGACATTTATAAAATTACTTAGTGTCTCTCACTTGGGTGTTGTGCATTTGAATTCCCTCCTGGAAAAAAAAAAGGGGGGGGGGGGGGGAGAACAGGTCCCTGACCTCCATAGAGTCCTGCTGGGCAGCACTTGGCAGACAGAATCTTGAGGCGGAATCATCCAGGTTTGTTTCTTCTGTTTGTTTCTATCTTCTTTTCACTACCTGACTAGTTTTATTCCCCATCTTATCCAGCCTAAAATCCTACAATGTAAAATCCACTTGAACTGACAAATATGCCAATTTTAACATAAAACACTTGAGAAATAGGCACTATCATAGGCAATATCTTCTGTCATTCCTACATTTGCAAAATGATCACATCAGACTTCATAATCTTAACACCTAAACTGAAAGGTACTATAAGAAGCTTTGATGGCAGAGATTGGCCGAATGGGATCGCTACTTGGAGCATGGAACATTTTGATGACAAAGCAAGCTCTATAGATATCTGGTGTGTGGGTTTGAGGATTCTGGGTCCTAGAAAGGGAAAGGCAATGAGGGAGGAAGAGCAGTTACTGAGTTGCAAAGAGCTCAAGTTAAACTGTCTCAAAGTTTTGTCCATGAAAAATGAGAGTATCTTAGGGAAAGGACAATGGGCAGAAAGGGCGACAGAGGTTGAATTCCAAGTAAGTAGAACTGCACAATCAAGGAATGAAACAGCACAGTATGTTTGAGAAACTGCACTGAAGTTATGGAGCATGGCTAGAGGGTAGCATGGGAAGTAGAATGAAAGCTGGAAGATCATATGGTTTTATATAATTTAATATGTAATCATTTCTTAAAATGGGCAAAGAGTTGGAATACATCTTTCGCCAAAGAAGATATATAAAAGACTGTTAGCACATAAAGTTTCTCAACATTAGTAATCTTTAGGGAAATGCAAACTGAAACTCACATTAACACCCATTAGGATAGCTACTACCAAAAAATAGGAAATAACAAGCATTGGAGAGGATGTAGAAAAACCAGAACCCTTGTGCACTGGTGGTAGAAATAAGCTACAGCTGCTGTGGAAAATAGCATGACAGTTTCTCAAGAAATTAAAAATAGAATTAACTATATGATCCAACAACTCCAATGTCCCTCCCAAGCATATAACCAAAAGAATTGAAATCAGAGTCTCAAAGAGATATTTGTACACCTGTGTTCATGGCAGCATTATTCAGAATAGTTAAAAGGTAGAAGCCATTCAAGTACCCAATGACTAATGAATGAATAAGCAAATTGTCTATATGCCTACAATGAAATATTATATATAGAAGGAAATTGTGATGTAAGCTATAGCATGTCAATCTGGGCATTAGACTAAGTGAAATAAGCCTGTCACAAAAAGACAAATACTGTAAGATTCCACTTACATGTGGAATGAAGAATAGGACAAATCATAGAGAAATTAGACTGGTGGTTGCTAGGGACCGGGTTAGGGGACACAAGGAGTCACTATTTAGGAAATATGAAGTTTCAGTTTTACAAAATGAAAAGCATTTTAGAGACAGATATTGGTGATAGCTGCACAATATATGAATATATTAACACTATTGAGCTGTACGTTTAAAATTGGTCGAGAAATAAATTTCATTATATGTATTTAATCACAATAAAATAATTGGAAAAAATCAATCAACCCAATTTACCCATACTGATAAACTTGAAATGAAAAATAGCACGATTATCTCAAGAGAAGCATAAAAAGCATTTTACAAACCCAACATTCAATCCTCACTGGAATCCTCATATTCACAGGATTACAAGGGACCATTTTTAATCTGAAAAGGACATCTGCAAGAAGCCTACGGCTAACATCAGACTTAATGGTGAAAGACAGAAAGTGTTGCCCTTAAGATCAGGAACAACAGGAATGTCAGGTCTCATCACTTCTGCTCGATCTTGTACTGGAGGATTTGGACAAGGAAGGAAGAAAGGAAAGGTGGAGGGAAGAAATGAAGGAAGAAAGCGGAAGGAAGAGATGGAAAGAGGAGGGAGGACTTGAAAGGAGCAGGAAGGGGCATTTAAAACAAGGTTAAATGTCAGATATATTTTTAAAAAAATATTTTTATTAGTTGTTGATGAGCCTTTATTTAATTTACTTATTTATATGTGGTGCTGAGAATCAAACCCAGTGCCTCACACATGCTAGGCAAGCACTCTACCACTGAGCCGCAACCCCAGCCCAGAGATAATTTAACATGAATATGGAGGGCTGGATTTGTCTTTCTAGGCCAAAGTCTTTAAAATTCAATAATTTGTTAAAAAAATCTACTTTACTAAATAATTTTTTTTAAATGTTGGAAATGGAAAAAAAAAAAAAAAAGAAAGATGGGGGAGGGCAGAGAGAGAAAGGATTGGAAAGAAAGAAGGAAGGAAAATCTCCCATAATCCACTACCCCACCAGAACCACTATTAAGATTTTGGAGTAATTTTAATATGGTATTTTCAATTTGCTAATTTTCAGTGTGGGTTTCTGTTCTGTCTGCAGTAAGGTAGGTTGATAGCATTTATTGAATAAACAGCTAGAGACAGAGTTGGGATTTTTTTGAACAAAGAATTGCTTTTAATGCTTTTTCACATCTGCAAAGCAAATATGAAATACAACTTCTAAGTTTTTGTAGTTGCTTTGTTCAAAGTGTAAGCAGCTCTTTAAAAATGAAATAATTAGCTGGGTGCGGTGCACATGCCTGTAATCCCAGTGGCTTAGGAGGCTGAGATAGGAGGATGGAGAGTTCAGAGCCAGCCTCAGCAACAGTGAGGCACTAAGCAACTCAGTGAGACCCTATCTCTTAAAAAAAATACAAAATAGGACTGGGGATGTGTTTGAGTGGTTAAGTGACCCTGAGTCCAATCCCCAGTACAAATAAATAAATAAGTAAATAAATATACTATATCTTGATTTTGTAAATGGGAATAGATTGCACTCTTAAATTTATGGGGAATGAAGAATAGCATCTGGATTATTCTAAATTTTTTTCTACATGATGGAGACTCCTCACATATGCGCATGCATATGAATAGCAAAATATTATAGCTTTCTAAATATTTAATTAGAAGAATTAATATCTCAGCCATTCTTGAAACAGAGTGGGAAATTGCATGGTTTGTGTTAGAAACAGGAAGATATATATGAACAGCTAATGAACGAAAAGCTCATCTAGAATGCTAGCCTACATTTTTCAGCTTGAGATCATTGTCTTATACTATATTGTGAAAAAACTTTTTCTTCTTGTTCCTTTTAAAAAAACACATTAAAGGTCTGCATCATAATTCAATGTTTTCTTTTCCTCTTGAGACTCTAACTGAATTAATATGTCTCTGCCTAGACACTATAGATTTTTTTGTAGGAATAAAATGGTCTGACTCAGGATATCAAATTGGGAAATCAGTATAGCAAGTGCCAGATTACACAGAATTTGATTAAATGCAGTATACTCTGGAGGGAACTTTATTTGTTGTTACTTACCTAGCTTTTTTTCTAACCACTTTGCTTCTCTAATATAGTGAACTATTGAAGCATTTACAAAAGAATTCCCTCCTTCTATCAGAAGCTGAAATTTTACCCTGTTCATTCAAATGCAACATATTCTAGGACAGATTTCACTCTAGAGTGAAACAATAGCCATCTTGATTCTGTACTTAAAACACCTGGTTGTCTAAGTGTCTCCAAATCCTTTGTGTCCATTTATAGCCATTTCCAATCAGCAAGACCTATTTAAATTCTTTCATTGCTTAATCTGGAAGCCAAGGGACACTCCAATTTCATTCTTCAACTCTTTAAATAGACAATGATATTAGAAGTCAGAAGTATTTGATATTTTTGAATACTTGAATATATCATGTTTTTCCTAAGCAATAGTACTTAGTCTATTTGCCAAAGGATGGCACTTATTTGTTGCTTTTTCAGTTTATGATTCTTTCTTTATCCTTCTGCCTCTCCCCAAACCCCAGCCCCTTTTCATTTTAAACTTAAGCTGGAAATCTTTTCTTGAAGATGTCTGAGCCTTATTCACACAGGATCTGATTCCATTAGATCTCATTACTGATTTATAAAATTTCCCCTGTACTCAGATTAGCAACAAAATGCTCTTAATGCTTCTATAAATACCATCATGTCAACTGATTTAGATCTTTAGGGACCAGAGAGATTTATTCACTTCCAATTACTTGAATTAGTGTCAGTGTTGAGTGCTTCAATAAGCCTACCAATGTCAGTGCTGTTTGCTTCTTTGGGATTTAGTAGCTGCTTTATGTGGCAAAGGTTAATGATTTCATTCAAATGCAACATATTCTAGGGCAATTTATGAATCTCATCTGTGGCCTCTCCTTGTAGGTATTGTGGTATGATTCTTTTGATAGATTCAAGGTTTTCTTCTTTTCTTTGACTTTCAACAGTTTGGAACAGTATTTATTTTAATTGGTGTTCATTTAGCATCTTGTACTGGCAAATTTTTGTCTTATCAAATTTGGGAAAATCTTGGCCATTATTTCTTCAATTTTTGTTCTGCCTCATTTTTTTTTTCTCTTGCTGAGAAAATGTATACTGAATTGTTTAATATCATGTTAGCAAGGCTCTGAGTCTTTGTTCATTTTTAAAAACCAAGGTTCTGTTTGGGTTTATTTATTTATTTATTGCCTCGGATGATTTCTTATTGCTCTACTGTCAAGTGTACTTACTTCTTCCTCTGTAATTTCCTTTCCTTTTGAACCCAAGGGCACTTACCACTGAGCCACATCCTCAGTCTTTTTTTAATATTGTATTTAGAAACAGGATCTCGCTGAATTGCGTAGGCCTCGCTAAATTACTGAGGATGGTTTTGAAATCTCGATCTTCCTGCCTCAGCTTTCTGAGCCGCTGGGATATCACAGGCCTAAGCCACTGCGCCAGGCAACTTTTAAAATTTCTGAAACTATCTTCTTTATTTATAGAAAGTCCATTTGATTTTTAAAAGTCCCTCCCCCCGCCCCTCCGCTGAGATTTCGTTCCTCTTTCATCTGCTGAAAACATGTTTTGCTTTACTTCATTGAGGGTAGTTACAAGAGTCACATTAAAATCCTTATGTGTCACTTTCAGCAGCAGCTTCTTAGTCTATCATGTTTGGAAGTAGAAGTTCTATCCTGCCGGGGACTTTTTGTTAATCCTTTCTTGTCCTGGTTAATGTGATGACCTCCTAACTACTCCCTGCTTCTATTCTTGCCTGCTACACTCCATTCTCAACACATTAGACTGATCCTGCCAAGACGTGACAGGAGCCTCCAAAGGTCCCCCTATGTCATTCGGTAAATCCATAAAGATGTTTATAATGTCCTCACTGCTGGTCGAAACTGCTCCTCCTTGGCCTCCAGGTCACGTGCTTATGCTGACTTCTGACCATCCATAAACAACTGTGCTTCTTACCTTGAAAGGTATGTCTGCCCTAAACTTACGGCTCTGCTTAAATTTCTATGACCAGGACATTGAATGAGCCCCCGCCTCCTCCCAGGAAAGGAGAACGCAAAGAGGATTTAAGTGTCCCCCACTTTTTCCAGAGAGCTACAAAGTGCACAGGCTGAAGAAGGGTTAAGGGCTTCTGGGCTCAGGGTACTCTCGAACCTCCTTCACGCTACATTAGCCCAGATTAAAAGTGCTATCGCGCAGGTGCTAGCTACCTGGTCAGAGGGAGTGACCGACCCAACTTTCCGGCGTCTGATCCCTCTGAGCAGGCGCTGGGGGAGGTGGGTGGGAGGCGGAACCCTGACGCGCGCCCCCCTGCTTCTGGTCGGGCCCGGGTCGTGATGCACCACGGGAGCGCCGCGCGGGCGGGCATGGAGGAGAGTGGCGATTCTGAGCCCACCCCGGGCTGTAGTGGTCTGGACTCGGGCGGCGTTCGCGATGGCGGCGGCGTTCACAAGTGGACTCCGGCGGACGCCTGGATGAGCACCCACCCGAAGGTTAGGAGGCGCGAGAGGAGCAGGGCGCCAGTTCCGGTCCCTGAGGCAGGCGGAACTCTCGGGCAGCGCTCGAGTTCTAGTAGGCCGGCTGGCCTAGCGAGCGGGACCGAAGCGCACCGTCCGCGCGAAGGATGGTTTGTTGTTTAAATGAGTAGAACCCTGGCTGACACCTCTCCTAGCAACCCCATCCCCGCTCCAAGCCATTCTTAAACTGGACCATATATGGGACCCCTCCCTTCCCAGTCTGGAGACCCTCATAAGCACTCCACTCTTGTCCGTTTTGCTATCCAGAGAGAGCGTCTTTCGTGGCTTAGCTGGTTCCCAGGGACCGTGCAAGTCGGCGTGTGGGCCGTGGATGAGATCTAGGACCGCCAGTGATAACGTTTAGGCAGTCACGTTTACACTTAGCCTCGGACCCGGGGTGTGCACCTTGATTCCGCACAGCTGCCAATTCCCAATTTTTTAGATTTCTTGGAAAACTTTGAGGAAGTTCTTGCTCAAGGCGGAGCTACTCACTCTTGATTAGCAGCAATGAAGATAAAGATAGCACCTATCTTGCTTCTGCTTGGGGAATTGCTGCCTTATACCAGTATTGTCCCAATTCCTGAATAGACAGTGAATGGATATGTGAATTTTGTAGGAATCTTAGGGACTGAACTGGTACAGTAGACTGGCTCTCTTCTGTTTGAAAGCTGTAATTCACAGATAATTGTCTGGAAACAGTCAAGAAAAGGAAAATCTTGAAGATAGAAGTCTGAAAAGAGTGATTTTTTGTTTTATCTTGCCCGAATTTGTCTTCTGTCTCTATCTCTTTTCAGCCTCCCAGGAAAGAAACAGTAACATGGAAATGTTGCTCAGTGCCATAAAAAGAAAAACAATAGCAAGGAGAGCAGTATAGTGGTTAGGAGCATGAACTCAAATGCAGACCCCCTCAGTGGGAATCTTAGTTCTGTCCCCACCTTGGTCTGAGTTGCTTGATCTTATTATGTCAAAGTTTCTTTGCTTAATTTCATTATGCCTCAGTTTCTTTACCTAAAAAGCTGGCATATTGGTACTTATCTCGTAGTGTTAGTAATTTTTTGTAAAGCATTAACATGTAGAAAGCACTATATAAGTATTTAATGTAACAGTTTTTTTTTTAAATCTGGATTTGATGTTGCTTTCAGACAATTTTCATATTTGCGGATTTTTTTCTCTTTGAAGCTAATAACTATATAGACCCTGATCATCAAATCTTTCTTTTGATTTTTCTACTTGAAGGAGTAAACTGATTTTAAAAAAAGTAATAATAATGAGTGTGTTTACAGTTCTGCCTTTTAAAAAATTCAGTTTGAAAATTACTTAATAAAATGACTTCAGTGAATCCAGTAAAATGTTATCAGGTTCATCATCCTTGGGCATACACTCCTTTTATTATATTATTCTCCTTCTTAGAAATCCTCAGTGTTTGTTTATGGATAAAATTCACACTTTTGGCTTGGCCACAAATATCTTGCAACCTCTCCCCAAATCACATTTTCAGTGTCACTTTCAAACACATTTGATGTTTGGGGCAGACAGCTCAACACCCTTCTTCTCCTATACCTGTATATTTATCATGAAGCAGATGGGAGAAGGTAACTTCACATATGCCTGCATGTGGCGTCTCCTTTTGTCTTACCTTACATTAGTCTGCTTATATACCTGGTCCCTAATATGTATTGATAATTTCCAGCTTCTCCTGCAGGGTTAAGTCCCTAAAAAATGTTCTTTTGCCCACTAGCAATTCTGAAAGAAGCAGAATTTTGCTTCTTTAAAATTCAGTAATTAGATAATTCCCTACTCTTGAGAGAGAAAGGGTGGAGAGGCTAGGAGTGGTGTTCTAGCAGATTCTTTCCACATGCAAGTAAGAAGCCAGGGAAACAGAGTCTCCACTAACATGTCCCAACAAAAATCCTATTGAAGTTTTCTCTACTCAGGCAGATTTCTTTCTTGAATATGTGTGGTGATCTCCCATACTATCTCTGCTTCTCTGTTTATTAAAATTATACATGTCCCCTAGGACTTAACTTGTGTCCCATTTATATCATGAAATATTCACCAACCAATCCCGGAGTAGAGCTCCTCTACCATGTTTTTTTTTTTTTTTTCATTCTACTCACATGGTTTTAATCACTCACATATTGTTATTTGCCTAAGAGTTTTAAGTAGAGTCAACCTTCCATATTTTTGTCTGCATCCTCAGGTTCAACCAACCTCAGAGTGGAAGTATTTGGAAAAAAAAAATGCATCTGTAGTGAACATGTACAGACTATTTATCTTATCATTATTACCTAAACAATAAAGTATAACAACTATTTACATGGTATTTACATTGTATTATATATTATAAGTAATCTAATTTAAAGTATACAGGAGGATGTGCATCAGTTATATACATTTTATATAAAGGACTTGAGCATCTTGAATTTTAGAATCTGTGGGGTTAGGTCATAGGGGAAGGTCCTGAAACCAATCTCTTGTGAATACTGGAGAGAACACCGTATGTATATGTTTAATCTAACAAGTACAGATTCTTTAGATAGATCAGATCTTATATTGCCTTTTAATGTCCACTAAATCTAGAAGACAGTTATATAAGAGTGTGTGTGTTTGTGTGTGTTGTGAATATGTTTTGATTGAAAGAAAATATTAAGAGATTTTTCCTTCTCTATTTGACAATTATATTTTGATTTTCAGTATTTAGAAATGATGGAATTAAATATTGGAGATGCCTCTCAAGTTTATATAGCATTCTTGGTTTACCTGGACCTCATGGAGAGTAAGTTGTTTGTTTATATTTCTTGGTTATTGGAGTTGTGGTGGGGGCTTGGGGAGTTGGTTTGGGATATAGCATTGTTGATATATAATAATATATCGTTTATGATTGCTGTGAACTTTTTAAAATTTTATTTTAGTTGTTGATGGACCTTTATTTTTTATTTATATGTGGTACTGAGAATCGAACCCAGTGCCTCGCACACTTGAGGCAAGCGCTGTACCACTGAGCCACAACCCCAGCCCCATGATTGCTATGAATTTTGCCAGTTAACTTTGTAATGGTTTATTCATTTACACTGGGAATAACTAGGTAACAGAAAAGAGTGGAAAATAGAGAGAGAGGTAGTATTATGAGTATTGTATACTCAGCTGAGGATTAGGTAGAAGTTTGGAATTTTCATCTTTTGTTTTTGACAAACATTGTTGTGCATTCAATGATATTCTTTCAGGTAAAAGTTGGTATGAAGTAAATTGTGTGGGATTACCTGAACTTCAGCTCATCTGCCTGGTTGGTACTGAGATAGAAGGGGAAGGGTTACAGACTGTGTTGCCTACACCCATCTCTGCTTCCCTCAGCCATCAAAGGTGAGCAGGTGGTTTTGGTCTTATTTTAACAGAAATCAAAGGAAGTGGGAAATATTTATATTCTTGGTAAGGAGGCAAGACCTTTGCAGAAAACAAGAGATATGTAAGATGCATCATATGATACAAATTATACTTACCGTAGGAAGTGGTGAAGAGTGTGATCAACATGCAAGTTGAAATCAAAGAAAGCTGGTGGGGCCTTTATAAAAAAATCTTAGCTGCACAGAACTGAATTACATATATATTTATTTCATGATATACTCTCATTATTAGTTCTTGATTGTTTTTTATTTATTTACTTAATTAGTTACTGATACTGTAACAAGAATCTCCAAACCGGTCACCCAAAAAAAGCTGTATTCTTAACAATGACTGACATTAGATCTTATGGATCTCTTCTTTCCTACTTCTACTGACCTAAGATAAGTTATCCTGAATCCTATGTTCAATAAGGAGAGTTTTTTTTTTTTTAATGTTTATTTTTTAGTTATAGGTGGACACAATATCTTTATTTTATTTGTATGGTGCTGAGCATCAAACCCAGTGCCTCACGCATACTAGGCAAGTGCTCTGGCTCTGAGCCACAACCCCAGCCCTAGATGTTTTTAATTTTATAAAAAAGTATGTAATTTTTTGAGGCTCATCTTACACACTTAATACTGTGTTTCTAAAATTAATCCATTGTGCATTTTGTTGGACTACTAGATAACTTTCCATTGTGTTATTGTACTACAGTTTTTACGTCTGCTCTTCTGATGATAGAGTGCTACTGATGTTCGTCTTTAGGAGATAATTGCAAACTACTTCCAAAGTGGTTGCCTCATTACTTTTTACCAATGTAAACAAAATCCTTTGGAATCTTATTGTCTTCAGCATTTGGTATTGTCACATAAGTTTTTGCCAGTTGAATGGATTATCTGAATGTCTTAATTTGCATTTTTCTGTTTACTAGTAATATTGAACATTTCTTGATGTAGTTATTTCCTCTCTTAAATGTCTGTGCATATTCTTTGCCTATTGGATTGTTTGTAGTTTTCTCATTAATTTGTATGAGTTCTTTAAACATTCTTGACAGTATGTTTTGTTGGCTGTGTTTTCCAGTTTTAACTTCATCCTTCATTGTTTTTGGGGTGTTTATTAATGAAAAACTTCTTAATTTGAATATAGTCATATTTCATCCAAGGTATACAAGCCATTTGTTTTATCATAATTTTACATATAAAAAGCTGTTTCTTAGCTATTAGAATTCTTCCTACTTTATTGGCATTTAAAAAATATTTTATTGTAAAATAAAACCAGATTCAGAAAACCACACAATACAAATATATGGATTAAAGAGTTATCATAAAGCAGATACTCTAACCGTTGTAACTATGATCAAGTGAGGAGCAAGAACTTTTCCAGCCATCCCAGAGCCCCTTCCATGTACCTGGCATAGCTCTTTCCTTCATCACAAAAGTAATCTCATCTCTTATGATAAAGTGGGGTTTGGCTAGTATATATTGTTCTCAGGACCTTTTAATGCTACCTTCCCCTTTTGATTCTCAATCAAGAAAGCCTGTTAGAATTTGAATGGATTACATTGTGTCAGGAATATTAATTTTATATTAAGAAGTAACTTGCTGCTGGGTGCAGTGGTGTAAACCCAGCAGCTTGGGAGGTTGAGACAGAAGGATTGTGAGTTCAAAGCCAGCCTCAGCAACTCAGTGAGACCCTGTCTTAAATAAAATACAAAATAGGGCTGGGGATGTGGCCCTAAGTTGAATCTCTGGTACAACCCCTCCAAAAAAAATAAAATAAAATAAATAAAGAAGTAATTTTCCAACTTTGATATTTACTATTAGAAAAAAATTACTTGCCATATACTACACAATACCCAGTTATAAAATATTATTTAGGCTTTGCTGCTTAACCGCTTGAACATGGAATGTTTTGGGTTTTTTTTAATGCTCTGCATTCCTGAGAAACTTTAATCATATTTTTATTAATAGAGAAGCTGGGGGAGCTGGGGCTGTAGCTCAGTGGCAGAGCACTTGCCTAGTATGTGATCCTCAGCACCACGTAAAAATAAATAAATAAAATAAAGGTATTGGGTCCAAAAAAAAGGTGTTGGGGATGTGGTTCAGTAGTAATGTGTTCCTGGGTTCAATCCCTAGTCCCCCAAAAACACCATAAAAAATGGGGAAACTGGAAAAATATAAAACCAGAGAGCCAGCGGAGTTGGCAGTTTGCTGGAGGTAGTTTCATATTATTTACAAAGAGCGTATAATGCTTGATCGTCATCTCCTTTATTGGTGTTCCCAAGCTTTAGAATCTATTGTTTGTAAAACCTGACCAAACTCTGTCATTTGTTAGTTAACTACAACTTAATTATAAAATATTTCCCTAGTGAGGACAAACAATCCTACAGTATGTTCTTTCCTGGCATCTCTTTCAAGTCTGATTGTTACTCTAGAAATTATGAAAACACTTCAAATTCCATGCACTAAATTGCTCATCTGCTAGTTCAGCTGTCATAAAGTAAAGGTCTAAGAAATTTTGCCATTTACTCTTTTGGACAAAATTTTTGTTCAGTTAAAGTTATTCCTAAGGAGAAATGAAAACAATTCAATAAACATAAGAAATGAGTCCTGCAGTCAAAGTTAGGATTCCTAGCCTCTGATTTTCTTAATCTGATGCTTGATTTTTGGATCATACCTACTTGCCACAGTGTTGTTTTCAAAGGAATGCACTCCTTTTTCTTCCTACATTGAGTTAAGTGAACTGTCCCTTCTGTTTTGACAGAATTAATTTCTCCTAATATAGTTTTTAAAGACCTGTCAATAGTAATTTTTCTTTCAAGGACATGATTACTTTTGAAAATATTTTATTAGCCGTTTACATTATCCCAGTAATATATCATGTAGTCACCTAGATAATATAAATTGACCAATTATTTTTTTAAATCTATTGCATTAGTATTTTATGGGAAGAAGGAAAAGAATCAATATTATAAACCCTGAACTATGTGGGGAAAATTAAAATTTTATTTATTGTTCTTACTCTAAAATGATATACCCTTAGTAAAAATGATCTAAATGTCTATGCTTACACTTTTAATTTAAGCTTTAACATATATTCATAAATGAATATGAATATAATTGTAGACTAGTGGCAAAACAGAAGCGTGTTTTGGTTTGGGGAGGGGATAAATGGTAAATTGTAGATTGTCCTATTATTTTTCTAAGTTACTCATTTATTATTAGATACCTGGGTTTAAGAGTACAAAATATCCCAGATTTTCCCATGAGATTATGACAGTCTAGAGCCAAGATGGATAGACATTTATGTCCAGGGGATAAATGTAATGAGAGATACGTCCAAGGCACTGAAGAGGGCTGCAGAGGTAGAAGACTGAACCTCTACTAGTGGTATGGGATTTAGGTGAGTCTGGGAAGACTTGCTAGAGGAGAAGTTGTTTAATTATGCACAGACATATAATACAGAAGAGGGATGGATGTTCCTGGCAGAAGTAATACCTTCTGGGCAAAGTTCTGAGGGCTGAGAAAGCCTGCAAATTGCAAATTGTTCATTATGACTGGGCATGAGTAGTGGCAGATGGAGGAATTGCCAGCAGCTGGTGAGAAAGCCCTGGATTGTGCATGTATGTTTGCAAAGCAGCGTGATGTCTGTGAGAGAGAAAGTATGTGAAGTGAGAGATGGGAATGATAGAGGAGGGGAGGAGAAGAGGGAAAGAAAGAGAAAGAATATTTTTAAAATAACCCTACTTCTGAGAAGCCATATTTGGAGAAGAACCTAGTAAGAATTAAGGAATTGGAAGACCTATTCATTCAAAAGTAAGAGAAAATTAGATGCAGAGTTTTGCTACTACAAGGAAACACTCTTGAAACAAAGGAGGGAAAATTTTGAGTAAGATATTAGGAATTGTAATGCTTGTTTCTATTTTCTGTGATGGATATCAATTATACATCTGTTAGGATATAGGAAATAACCAACTGTTAGTGCAAGAATATCACTTGGGGACTTGAGAAGGTTAAGTAACTCCATCACTTGCCATTTCTTCACTTCTCCAGAACGTTTTTGTTTGCTGGTTAAGTGCTATATGGCTCAGTCTTCCAAGCCATAAAGAATTATACTCACTCCCTAAGTAGCCTCATTTGTTTTCACAGTTTTGGGTTTCTTTGTATTTTATCAGTATTTCAAAATACTGATGACTCCCAAATTTTAATCTCCACTTCAGCCTCCCCTATGAACTTCAGACCCCTCTATTTAAAGCCTATTTGCTGTCTCCACTGCAGTGAAAACGGCATCTCAAATCAGCATGTCCAAAAAGAAGTCTTGATTTGCCCTTACATTTGCTCCTTACATTTCCCCAGGTCTTTAAATGGCAACTCTGTTCATTCTGAAGCTCAAGCCAAAGTCTTGGAGTGTGTGCGTGCATGTGTGTGTAATTTATTTTTCTCGAACAATTCCAGATTTACACAAAATGTGATTAAGTATGAGGATTTCCCTATAAGCCCTGGTCCAGATAGTGTTTCCTCTGTTGATATCTTGCATTAATATGGTACATGTGTTATAATTAATCACATTAATTGACACATTAACGAAAGTGCATACTTTGTAGTTCATCTTTTTTTTTTTTTTTATGATTGTAGGTGGACACAATACCTTTATTTTATTTGTTTATTTTTATGTGGTGCTGGGGATTGAACCCAGTTCCTCACCCATGCTAGGCAAGTGCTCTACCACTGAGTCACAACCCCATCCCCCTGGAGTTCATTCTTTTTATTATGCAGTCCTATGGCTTTTGAAAAACACCTAATGTCATGTGTGCACCATTGCATACACAGTAACTTCAGTGCCCTAAAAAAATCCCCTGTGCTTCGGCTGTTCATCTCCTCTGCCCATTCCAGCCTCCTCTCCAACAGCTGTTGAACTTTTTACTTTCTCTATAGTTTCTCCTTTTTCACAAAGTTAAACAGGTGTAATCATATAAAATGTAGCCCTTTCGGGTTGGCTAATTTCACCAAGCAGTATTCAGGGACTTTGTTCTGAACATTACTGTATCCTCAGTGCCTAGCCTGGTATCTGATACCAGGTGCTAAGTCAGTATTTGTTGAATGACTAAATATCTGCAGCAGAGACTTACTAAAATGCCCAAAGAACAAAGTATATATTATAAGCATCCTTCCAAGAGTTTCCAAAATTTAGACTGTCTGGAAAATCCATTTACTTGCAGGATTTATCACCATTTCCCACACTTTACATTGTAACTATAATGTGCATCGGAGGACAGAGAACAATCACAAATTTGAAGAGGCAGACTGCCAATGCTGTCCTTTCCTTTTAGTGAAGAATTTAGCTAAATTCTTCCTCATCTATATTCACCCCACCCTTTTGTACCTGTTTTTTTTCCCCTGGTTTTGGGGGAAAGAACTGTGTTAATGGTGGAATAAAGGGTTACAAGCACTGAGTTACTTCTTTGGAACATAACCAGAGATATTTTTAGTTAAGCAATTTAATCCTAAAATGCCACACATTTTACTGAAATCGGATACTCCATTATTATTTCCCTGTAACTGAAAAATATTCCCCTTTGAAAAGCATAGTCCTTATTATAATTTATTTAATGACCGCTGTTTTATCTGATACCTCAGATCTAATAACTAGTGAAGTTCCTGCTGTCATTTGGCTTCCTTCACATCAGGATGTGTGTGTCCTCACCCTACGTCTGCTTGCTGGTGAAACCTCCGAGTCTGGCAGCTTCTTTCAACTGACACAGCATCTTTTTCTCCTCCCTTCAAAAAAAAGGGGGGTGTGGGGGATCTTCTAATTTATTTTAGCAGAATAATTTCCCACTGAGGGAATAGCCACACAGGCACTTGATTGTTCAGTAAATCCTCTTGAGATTTCAACTGCTTTGATTTTTTTTTTTTTCTAGGAAGGGATTGGCATGATTCCTGAGGAGGTGTTCTGTTATCTGTGGAACTTTCCTTTAGGACTGGCTAGTGGATGAATATGGCTTCTTGGTGCCTCTGGCATCAAGTTAATTTTGCATTGTATTTCAGAGTTGCATTATATGTATCATCCCATTACATCCTGAGGCATATCAAGGAGTTAGTACCTTTTATTGATAAGGCTGCAGCACACACCAGTTTGGCCACATTGAGGACAGAAGGAAACACTATGTTCTGTGCATTGCAATGAATACTAATTTTAACCCATACTGCACTCTATTTCAACAATATTTATAGTTAAAAGTAATGTTTTCTTCAACTTCTTGTCCTCACTCTAAATCTCCAGAGATAACTTAGTCTCTATTTTAGGATCATTACCAAAAAAAAAAAAACCTAAAAACAAACAAACAAAAAAACAATGTTAAGATTCGTGGAAGATATTTAAATAACTTGGGCTAAGGACATTAGCTGAATAGCATTAACTGTGTATTTACTTCAGGTTTCTTGTCAAGTTAGTTATAATAAGCTTTAGAATCACCTTATTTTCTTCAATTTGTAGAGCTTGTCAGTGAACAGTTATGAGAGGGGAAAATCTGTGAACAACAAATTTTGTTGCTGATAATCAACAGCCATGATTTTATAGATCTTTTTCTTTAGATGGGACTTTTCCCATGAGTTTTTTGGAAATTAAGTGAGTTTTAACATTCTGGTGATGCTTCGCCATTCTCAGCATCTTTACAAGTATGTGTGAGTTTTTAAGTAGAACTTCAAAACTCTTTGTTGTTATTGTTGTTAATAAATCGAGAAAACACCGTCTGCTGCCTTAAAGACAAAGTAAATACTTTTATGGATTTATGCAGTATCTCATAGATAGTATCTCATAGAAACAAACAAGAAAGGTCTTCAGTGGGTACGTATAATAAAAATAGATTAGCTAAAATCCTGAACAAGAAACTTGGTAAGACTTTCCAAGTGTGCTTTAGGTAACAGAGTCAGAAAAACTATTTTATTCTGATATTACTGTGAAGATTCATTGGTAGTTTTCCCAATATACAGACTACCAAGTAGGATAATAAGAGCTCAGAGATGGGAACTTCCATTTCATTTTTGACAGTGATTTCCCTCAACTCTGAAAACAAAACCCCCTTTACAACTCTGAGCTAATTTTCAAGCCTTCAGCTTTCCCACATGGGTGTTTTGAATATTTCTGAAAATGTTTTGCTGTTTATATTCAAAGAACTCTGAAAACAAGTATCAATTGAGAATGAAAGAAGAACAGTGAATGAGATGGAAATTTCTATCCTAAATTTCAGTTTAAGGGCTAGAATTCTCACACAGTTGACCTTAAACACACACTCCCTTTGCTTTAAACTGTATCATATTTTGAAGAAGAGAAAATGTGTAAAAATTATTTCGGTAGGTTTCTTTTCATTCTTGTGTCATCTTATTCTCATTTGCCAGTTAGGGATGTTTTTAGAGAAACAAATTTTTAACTTATGGCACTGCAGTGGTTTTATGTATATTGCATATTGAGAAATAACTGGGATATATGCAACAGAAAATTAAGATAAATTAAAATTATAGTCAATTTGTAGTGTTCTTACCATTTTAGAAAAAAAAATTAATACAAGGTGGGCACTATATAAAAATTAATCTTTTCCTGTGACTATTAATTTAGATATTGGTTTGCCACTTTTGAAGAAGCAAAATATTTAATTACACTGAGATTTGCATTGATGATATAAGGAATGCTATTTTATCAAGTGTCACTTCCCATTAGTGCCGAGTAATGAAGTATCTGATTAATGTCTGCAGTTTCTTTGTATGAATCTCTCTGAAGTAAACTGCTCGTAGGAATCTCGCTCTCTGTCATGTAGTTCAACATGGTGGGATATTATATTTTAAGGACTAAGTCAGATTCTGGGATCAGCTATCTGTAACAGAACATTTTCTATATTTCCACTAAGGGCACAGTGTACCTTAGTATATTTGAGTTAGTATTTGTTTTTAGCAGTAACCATGGAGAGAGTGGTGTATACAAACATTTTGTCTCCGTTTGTAAGGTAATAAAACTGGTATTTGTATTCAATGACTACTTGATGGCTTGTAAAACCTTTTTATAGTGTTATGTAGACTTAGAGGTAGACCATCTTCATTTTATAGCACCACTTGTTGAAAAGATATTCCCCATTAAATTGCCTTTGCACTTTGTCAGCTGACAAGGTTTATAGCATATTAACAAGTAATATATATGACAATTTTAACAGAAAGCTTGAGGGAGGAAATGGAGCTATATGGAACAAGGAAATGACATCAGAGAGTAAAGAAATGAAGAATGCCAGAAATGTCAAATATGTTAATATGAAAGACCTTAATATATCTTCTTATTTTTCCTATTAACTTTTTAAAAGCTTAAGATTAGGGATGGGGGATATAGCTTAGTGGTGTAGCACTTGTCTAGCATGAGCGAGGCCCTGTGTTCAATCCCTAGCACTGAAAAAAAAGACTGAAGGTTTTATGTAAATAGTTATAACATTGTATTTATGAATTTATATCATACAGATAATGTACAACAATAATTGCACAAAGATATAAAAGGAATAAAGGTATAGTGGAGCAGTTTCTGTATTTTAGTAGGTTAGTATTAATCTGAGGTAAATTGTGATAAGATTCCATGGTAACCTCTAGAGACACCACTAAGAGACTTAGATGCTATTTGCTAATATTTGAGATCTTGTCTCACTTAGAAACTATAATAAAAACAAATAAGAAAATAGTGCTCTAGAAAGTATCAATTTAATACAAAAGAACATGGTAAAAGAAGATCAAAGGAACAAAACAGATTGATACAAGAATCTAAATGACAGACATAAATCCAACCATATCAATAGAAAAACAAATCATCAGAGACCTTCAGTATAATATCAAGTATATTTAACATATGTGTAATTGGAATCAGAATATATATTCAGTTGTAGAATAGTAATATACTAGCAAATCTTTTTCCAATTTCTAGAAAATTGGTTGGCTTAATTAAAAAACCAGCTGACCATTTTTTACTTGCCTGTTTAAGAAAGCTCCTTGGGAAGTTAGTTACATTTTACTGAATTTTTGAACATAATCTTTATGAGTAGGTAATAAGGATTTTTAATGTGTGGTCAAAGGCTAATAATCCTTTGAGGACCTTTATATTAGATTTTGTTTATTTATTTTCCACAGCAAGCACACAGAAATACTAACATTACCAAAAAAATTTTTTTAAGTTTTATTTCTTTGTATATTTTTCTCTTAATTTTCTTTAAGTGTCAGAATACATACAGAGAACCACAAAAGTATCTCTACTCATATCTAATAATTCTGATACTTGGGAAAACTAGAAATATTAAAAAAGAAACAGTCGTATGTACAAAGAGGACCATGACAGTTTATTAGGATCACTCTTCTCTGCCTCCCAAATTAAACCAAAATAACTTTATAACAATAGAGAAATGACTAGGTGAAGTAGGAATCAGTAGATTGTTATATAACCATTGAAAGATAGTAATTCATAACCACCATATAAAAACATGGGGGTAAAGTTTATTACAGTCTATTTTTTAGAACCATACCTGAATACCAATTGTTCCACTATATAACACCATGTTGGATAATTGAAAAAAAATAACACCTGTGGCCGTTAGTCAATTTATATACACAGGACAGTGTTAGCCCCCTTAGTAGGTTGATAAGGACAGAATACAGTTGATAAGGACAGAAAGGGGAATGCTTTTGAAAAGGACTCAGAGTCAACAGATAGCACTTACGTGCAGGATTTCCTGTGTGAGAAGAGCTGAGATACTTATTTTCAGCCTTCAGACATTTCCTCAGCATTGTAATATAATCACCTGCCTCTTCCCAAGATTTCACAGTATTCAGTCTTATTCTCAGCTGAGTGAGTGTAACTCCTAAGTATATCATGTCTTTATTTTCAGGATAAGGGACATCTTGAAGGCATCTCAGAAACTGCGAGGGAATCCGGATTTGCCGATGTCTTTCACTCTCGCCATCGTGGAGTCTGATTCTACAATAGTCTATTATAAACTCACTGACGGGTTTATGCTGCCAGACCCTCAGGTCAGTTTTCAGATAACTGTCAATAAACTGAAAAAGGAAAATCATGACAAAATTTTAAAATGTGAATTAAGTCATTCATGGAACGATTGCTTCTTTTGCCATAGAAATATTCAAGAAAAAAAGTTACATTTTCATACTTCAGAAAACTGTTTTGTACAGAGTAATATCTTCCTTATTATTTTTGCAAAAATTGTTTGACTCCCCACCTCTGTGGAGAATTTCATAGTTTCCCAGAGTATTTCATGAAGGTATGCATTTAATTATTCAGTGAGTAACTGAAATGCGATGTTAAAAGAAGTTGGGAAATTAGTTACATTTTACTGAATTTTTTAACATAATCTTTATGAGGAGGTAATAAGGATTATTACTATTATTAGTAGTTCTAACTAAAAGAACACTTCTTTAGGAGATATTAAATTCATTGACATTTAACAGGGACATTTTAATAAAATGAATGTTTTGTATATTATTTCTTTCATACTTTGTTGGCATAATGGGATAATTACATTAAATAGCTTTCAATTTTGCATTTAATTACATGACTCAGAAAAAAGTTGCATTTTGAACTTTTTTTTGTTTATATTTCAGAATATTACCCTTAGAAGATGACATCTGTACTTCTCAACACTTTATTCATAAAAGATTGAATTTCAGACCCATTTAACTGCTTTATCTTTTATCTCGGACATAGTCAGAGTCGATTTAGCTCTTCTCATTCCATAAGTTTTCTTTCTGAAGAATAAAACTTTTTCAGATAAAAGATTTTGTATTGCTTAAAACCATAGAGTTGTTGCTCTAGAACTCTTATTAGAGACAGTTTAGTTACAGTTGTACTCATATTTATGCTGAGGATGTGTTCAGAGGGGTGGAACCGCTGTACCTCTTCCTCACCCACACTCAGCTGCTGCTGCTGGCTCGTCATTGAAACCACCACCTCTTCCCTTACTCTGCTCTCCCAGCGCCTTCTGACCTCTGTAGCTAGCTTGAGCTGGCACTTCATGTATATTGTGAAATGTGGAGAGTTTATTTCTGCCTGCTTTTCCATCTTTTGTATAAAGTAAAAGATTTATTTGAGTGGGTTTGTTTTTCTGTTGCACTTACTGTTATTTCCCTCTTGAGTTGATTTTAAATCAGAATTGAAAATATGCTTGTCAATAGTGTAAATCCACATGTCGGCATTAATAGGGACCAGAGAAGTGCTTACCTATGAGAGTGCCAGGCCTTCCTTTCCGTCCTGTCACCTCCATCCATATTATATCATAGCTTGAATATTATAAGAGAGTGAGGGACAGTTTCAGCATTAAAAATGTCTTTTGTCAATTAGACCCAGTTATTCCTCTTTTGTTAATATCCAAGTATGAAAATAATATGCACAAAAACTTTCCAAACAGTATTGTTTTGTAACTCAAATTATGAATCACTTGAAGTTTAGAACAGGAGTCAAGTGTGAGGCTGTACTTTGTCATCCCCTGGTCAAGGTAAATAGTCAGTAAACAGATCTATGAAAGGTATATTATGTACTCATTAAAATTATGTAATCCTGGCTGCAAGTAACTCACCAAGTACATGTTAGAATGTGACAAAGTGGGTGAAATTACTAACTGGTTATAGTAGGATGGCAGAGCAATGAATGGAAAACTTTATCTTTCCTCAATATTTTAGCTTTTACTTATGTTACTTTTATAATGAAATATTTTAAAATAAAAATACCTCAAAATCTGTATTATCTATCATTGCATGATACTATTAGCAGATTAAAACTGCACATTTATGATCTTATAGCTTTTATGGGCAGGTGGTCTGGGCATGGGTTAATTGGTGCAGTGGAGGTGTTACCTGGGCTACAGTCTCATCTGAGGCTTGCCTGGGGAAGGATCTGCTTCCTCGCTCCTCTGGTGGTCAGCAGTCTTCCTTGTGAGGGCCTCAGTTGTCAATGGGATGGTGGGAGGCTATTCTCAGCTCTTTGCCACATAGGCCTTCCCAAGACACATCCTTCCTCTTCCCCCTGTTCCATTGGTTAGAAGCAAATTTTAGATTCCCCCTACACCAGGGTCTTAGGTCTGATTAGGAAACAATAGTAACAAGAATGGGGAAAAAATGGCAAATTTGCATTACAAAATGGTATAAAGCATTATTCCTGATCCATTGATTTTCCTGGCTCCTTTATTTCAACAGTATTAGAATTTCACTTTTATTCTTGATGGAAAGTGCCCACAAATTAAGATTTCCTTTGCTCTCCCAGAAGTCCTGGAGATGTACCTGCTCACAACAGGGTGTGCTTCTATGACACCAGAAAATCTGCAGACCCAAGAATCCTCAAATAGTATATGATAAATTTCTAGGGTCTCTTAATAACTTTAGGGTCTCATCTGACTTCGTTTGAGAACTTTAATCACATTGGTAGAAGAACAATCTATCCTTCCAGATAGAAGTGAAAAGTGTAACATGTCGTATTTATGTTTTGGATCTGGTGACTAGGTAACCACCAGAAGTGCATCGGGCTTGACTGTGGAAGGCACTTTCTCAAATCTTTAGAGCCAGGACAATCCCACTATTATGTCCTGAGATGTTTACTCTATTTCAGATGATGTTCCCTATTTCATTGGCCAAAGTTGTTCTGTATAAAGCCAGCCAGATGCCTGCTAATGTCAAAGTGTCCAACACAGTTTAGGAAAGGAGACAGCCCCAGTTGTGTTTGCCTCATTTTAATGAAAAACTAGGTCAAGTTGTTTGGATAAATAATTTTGCATTTCAGTGTACATTTGTCTCCCTTGTTAATGACCATGAGCTCCTCAAGGACAGAATAAGAAGCTGTGACTTTTTCATACATTGTTGTCTCCCACCACTCTCCACAGTAATTGGCACATAATAGGCACATTATAGATGTTCAGCAAATACTTGATGAACAAATGAGTGCTACTGAAGGTGCCTTTTCACCTCAAGGCAAACTAAAAGGACCCAGTTCAACACCAGAGGGCACTGCTAGATAAGCATATTGTCAGACTAGGACTAGATTGGCTTGAGAAATGCTCTTGAAAATTTATTTTCAATCTGTGGGAAGTAGCATAAATAAAAATATAAATAAGTTTTATGTGCTCACACCCCCTCTCTTTCTGGCAGGCCTCTAAAATTACACTTTGCTGGCATTAAATATGTGACTTGATTCATGCTTTGCTCAAAATGTAGATCTATATTTAAAAACAAAAGCCTTTTTGGAGTGGGATGGTGAAGTGGTTTTTTTTTTCTCTTTTCCCTAAATTATGATTTTGTTCAGACCCATATGAAATTATGGCTTTCATTTTTCCTTACAAAAGCCTGATTTATTCAATGAATTTCAGCATCAGTCACATAGCAACAGACCCCGCTCTGAAACATTCCCTCAAACTGGCTAAATACCAGTAGTAAAAGATGTAAATTGCTGCTCTAATAAATCTAAACTTTTTTTTTTCTTTCTTTTCTTTTTTCTTTTTTTCTTTTTTTGTGGGAGAGGTGCCCTCTCTAGTTGGGGCAGGAGAGAGGGAAAGGCCTTGTTAGGATTTCTTTCTAGTGCAGCCTTTGCCGTTCTTTTCTGGAGTCCCTGATCTGAGTGCCCTCTGCTGGGAAGCCTCCAGGAAACGTGGAGTCCTCAAGGTCCAGTGCCTCTAGAATAACTTACTTTGCTTCTCCTACCTGGGCCTCTGTAGAAGAATGTGTTTGTAGTGCCATGGATCCGTTGTGAAGAGCGAGAGGCAGAGAAACTTTGGAACTCTAAGCTACAATTAGAATGAAGAGTAATCTCCCATAAAGTCCATGTAATCGGTATTTTTTGGCTGAAGCAGCTTTACAGTTTTATAAGCTTGGAACCAAATAACTTAATCAAAACTCCATGGTGTTTCATCTTTTTCGGTGCTTTTCTGTGTTAAATTCCTCTCTGAGGTCACTTTTTCCATTGTAGCTCCCAGCAGGAGGCCTCTTCATCAGCACTATTCAGCAGTTCCTGCCAAAGTTTATAGTTCTTCTATCCAGAAGCTCTTATTCATCAGCCATGTTTTACCTTGACTGTTTACAGAATAATATGCTGTCCTCTGAGCAATAGCCTAGTTTTCCCTCCTTTCTAGCCAATGACTATTCTGTTTCTTACCACCTCCATTCCAGCAGTCTGATTCTCCTGGTGATCTTTAAGTAAGAACTGCTTATGCTCACTAGGAAGGAGAATGGAAAAATCACATGTCTCTGGGGCTATTATAATGCCCAGCTATATTGTGCTATTATAATGTTTATATGAATCTGGAAATTTCCCCAAAAACCAGTGTAAGCAAAATCAAAGATTAAGTTTTTGGTTTTAGGCTTACTGAGTGGAGAGAACATCAAAAAGTATTTTGTTAAAGTTTACATCATTTATTTATTAATTTATCTTAAGGCATTACTAGTATTTTAATTAGGCAGCCATAAAAATATTTCTATAGGTTGAATGGCTTGAAGAACAGAAGTTTATTTTCTTACAGTTCTGGAAGTTCTAGGTCAAGGTGCCAGCTGACTGAGTTCACAGCTCTTTGTGCTCTGTGCATGTTCAACTCCTGGCTGTGCTCCCACACGGCCTTTTCTCTGTGTGGCGTGTCCTGGAGTTTCTCCCTCTTCTTATAAGGACACCAGCCCTATTCACTTAGGGCCCCATCCTTATGACTTTATTTAACCCTAATTACCTCCCTACAGGCCCCGTCTCCAAATTCAGTCACATTTGGATGTTAGGGCATCAACTTATGAATTTGGGACCAAGGGACATACTGTGGTCCATAACAACTGGACCCCCTCTGTGTGCTTAGATACTATAGTAAGTGCTGGGAATACAAGGATTAATGAGACATGACCCCTGCCCTAAAGGAACACATAGCCAACTATACAGCTCTCCTTACCTAGACTCTGGAAGCATGTTATCAATGTGAATGCAGGGACACTTGTCACGCTGTGAAGGAGGCATATGTAGTTTGTGCAGTTTACTTAAGAATGAAGACGATTCAACAACTTGGATAAATACTTTTTAAACAATGATTGTATGTGTATTATTTGTCTGAGAGGACTCAATGTTGGGACAGATACCAAGAAAAATTGCACAGTGCACCTCATGGAGGTGATTGACTAGAAAGGGAGAAAACCTGTGTATGAAATGATTTGGGAGCATTATAAGACAGTATAAGGTATAATCCCTAAATTATAGTTCTGCTGCACTCTATTCACTAAGTGTGCTCAACTCTTTATTGTGATTCTCATGATGTTACTTACTAGTTATCATTAACATATTCTCAGATGATGGAGAAATTAGGGCACTGAGTGGTGAAGTTTTAGTAGCAAGTGAACAGGGTAAGCGATGAGGAGAGCCAGGTCTCCTGACACTTTGCCCACCATCTTTTCATAGTACGTGTTGTCTCTTCCTAGTATGCATGGTGCAGAGAAATATATTAACATGTGCCCAAGAGCCTTTAGGATGAAAGAAAAATTAGTCCTGGGGCCTGGGATTGTGGTTCAGTGGCAGAGCGCTTGCCTCGCAAGTATGAGGCACTGGTCAGAACTTGTTAGAAAAGGCTTCATACAGGCTGATCTTGAAGCCAATCTTGATATGCTAGTGGGCAAAGCAGTTTAGCTCTTATCTCGCTTCTCTTCTCCTATCCTCAGGTAGATATGCAGCGGTGAGGGCGTGGACAGATTAGATATCTGTTGTAGGGTCACAAATTATCCCCAAATTCAGCTGCTTAAACATTTATTCCCTGCTGTTTCTGCAGTTGAGAGATTTGGGAGCATCTTAGCCAGGTACTAAGATGCTTATGAGGCTAGGATGACGACATTGGCTGGGACTGTCATTGTCTTCAAGCTTGAATGGGACTGGAAGATCCACTTCCAAGGAAGCTCACTCCTGTGGCAGGAGGCCTTGGTTCCTCACCATGTGGGCCCTTGTATAGGGTCCCCACAGTGTGACAGCCAACTTCACTCTGAATGATGAGAGAGAAAGAGAGAGAGCGTGTGTGTGTGTTTGACATCAATCTGAATGTTTTATGTCAGTATACATGTCATGTTTAATTGTTTCCTAAATTAATTAGGTCTCATGATGAAAAAAAAAATTTGCTCTCACCAGTCTCAAAACACATCTATTTATCTCTTGCTACATGGTACAGAGTAAAGAGGGCTTACATGAGCTACTACTTATTAGGCAGGACTTAGGGTAAATTATTAATCCTCTGAGCCCCAATACATACATGTACAGGACAGTATTGTATATTATTTATAGTCATCAAGGCTCTGAGATTGATATACATGTTTATATTTTTTCATTTTTTGTTGTACATAGGAGATAATTAATGTACACAATTTGCAAAGCAAAGATGCATAATGTGTCCAATTTGTGATTTTTGTTAGACTTTAGTGACAGAAATAGCTGTCAACCTTTCCTTGCATTTATGTATGAACATGTGACATGGAGACAATAGAACATGAGTGTGGTGGTTTTCTTCTCGGGTAAGGATTTTATATTTATTTATTTATGTGAGACACCAGGGAGTGAATCCAGAGGCACTTTGTCACTGAGGTACATCCCTGGTTCTTTATATTTTTTTTTTTTATTTTAAGGCAGGGTCTCACTAAGTTGGTTAGGATCTCGTTAAATTGCTGAGGCTGGCTCTGAACTGGCGATTCTCTTGCCTCAGCCTCCCCAGTGCCTGCAATTACAGGCATGAGCCACTGTGCCTGGCAG